TGAAAAATACGCAACTAGAAAGACTACAAATCCCAGAATCCCGGTCCCGCATGCTGGCTCTTACAGAACCGACTAACTCCCCTTGTGTGTATGTACAGCTCTCAACATGCCCAGACTTGTTGTGATTTTCACCTCTTTTAATACTCTTCGCCTCATTCTGAAAGAAAGAGGTGAAATGTGCCAACGTGACGGCCATCTTGGTTTGTGGTGCGAGACGGGAGATTTAGTTCATTGAGCGGTTTCACACATAAAAGTGTTACTTCACAGTTTGACGACACATTTAAAAAAATTGACTTGCAAAATTATCTTTTCAATTGACAAACATCACATGTGTAATTCGTGGCACAATTCAAACGGAATTGAAAGATAACCTTTCTCTCCCCATTGACTTCAATACATACTTTTTCCGAAATAAGGTCCCATGGAGGTCCCCCTGAAAGGGAGGGACTTCTGTGATGCACTTGCGACACAGCGCGTTCTACTGGGATGTCAAGGTTGTCAATTGCTTTTTTTGTCACAATAGATGGCAAAAAGGTATGTTAACATTTAATCTATCAGCTTTTAAACAGTTAATATATATTTTTATTTTACTTTCTCTTAAAGTATATTGCTTTTATTTAGTGTCAGTTAACAACAATATTTTGTACGGCTTAATTTCATTTAAGTGTACCATAATACCCTGGTCCAGAATGTCTTAGTTCATTTTGCATTTTGTTTCTTTTTAGCATGTTAGTAAATGGTCATGGGTTTGCAACAGTGTTTTCATCATATTTCTACCTCTACTAAATATGGAGCTTGTCAACGCGTGCAGGAAGATTTCATGTCCTGGAGAAATCCCGGCCACATTTTTTTTTAATTGGGATTGGATAGGAATGCTTAATGCAGAATGACGTCATCAAGGCATGTTGAAGGCTATGTAAAATAAAACAAGTTCCGTAGACTCGTACATAACACAACATTTTTTTTTATTTCGTAAGCCCATGCCGTAACTCTTAACACAAGGAATTTCCCTATGTTCGAGGCCTATATATTCACATATTAAAAAAAAGTGTCTTGGTGTCTAACTGCGTCCATCCCACGTCTTGTTTCCCTGCAGGTGCAGTCCAGCCTGCCGGACAGCAGCACCGGGGCTCAGTCGATTCCTCGGCCGCAGATCAAGGTGTCCGTCCCGGTCTCCCTCCCTGCGTCAGAGTCTGGGAAAGAGCAGCATCCCGCAGCAGAGCCAGAGTCTGAGAAGAGGGCGGAGCCGGTGGAAGATCCCAACGAGGACTGGTGCGCCGTCTGTCAGAACGGAGGGGAGCTGCTCTGTTGCGACAAATGTCCCAAAGTCTTTCACCTGGCCTGCCACATCCCCGCTCTGAACGAGTCCCCGAGGTGAGAGACCTCGGGGCTATAGATGCACAAAACATTTTGATAAAAATGCTTCTGCCCACATGAATACGTTTGCACTCATTATTTCTGCTGTAAAGGCACTTTATCTTTGAGAGTTATTATTTTGTCATAGAGTATATCCGGATTCAAAACCACTGTTTCTCTGATTTACAGAATTTCAACATTACATATTTCACTAAAAATCGAATTCTGTCATCACGTATTGTAGAGATTTGTGTTTTTAATATTGTTGAGTGTTTCTAGATTTTGGAGGTATATGTTCTTTGAATTGCTAAAAGCCGTTTGAATGTTTCTTTCATTAAGTAATTATACTTGTCTTTATTTTGTTTACAATAGTATGAATGAAAGAAATAGTAAGAAATATGTTTTTTGAGGAAAATATTTTACAAAAAATGATATTAAACTGCAATTCTTCAGTTTCTTGTTGTCAAAATGGAACAATGTTAGGCCCTGTTATAATGCGTCAGAAATATCACATGTTATAATATGTACAGTACGCAGTATTCTGTCACTGATCATTTAAAATCGGCCTACTTTACATTTCTAAAGAGCTTCCTGATGGGTATTGTGATAATCTGTTCTTAGGTCTTTTACTTTCCTAACATTGGCTGGTTGTGCAGACAGCCCTTACAGCAGCCACAGACAGAACACTTTTGATCATACTAAGCAGATTTTCCATCAGCTTCTCTTGTCTTGGTGTCTCTTCACAGCGGGGAGTGGTTCTGTTCGCTCTGCAGAGACCTCGCCGCTCCTGAGATGGAGTACGACTGCAAGGGCAAAGGCGACCCCGTCTCTGAGGGATTCCCGCCCGCAGAAAGAAGGGTATAAATAACTGTTATTTACCTTTCTGTGCATGACTTCCTTACTTAAGACTGGCTTGTATAGTCAGTCTTTCCACTGTCTCATCAAACATCTCCATAATATGATACATTCAATGTCTGATTTAGTTATTTTTCAATTTACAGAGGTGTGAGAGGCTGCTACTGCGTCTGTTCTGCAATGACTTCAGCACTGACTTCCAGCAGCCCGCTACTCCATCAGTAAGTTACTGTATTTTGAGACAGAAGTCATATCAGTATGTTTATATCAGGTGTACGAGCTGATAACGTTATTTTCTAATGTAGGAGACGAGGAGGTACAAGGAGCTGATTAAGACCCCGATGGATTTGTCGATAGTGAAGAAGAAACTGGAGTCCAAGGCGCAGGGAGGTGAAGGCTATAGCGGTCCGGACGGGTTTGTCGCAGATGTCCGGCTCATATTTTTAAACTGTGCGAAATACTACAAGGTAAACACTTTTATAACGGATATCTACGAAAAATGATTGTAATATAGTCTAATGCCAAAACTCCCCAGTGACATTTCTTTCTTTAAAGTACATACTCTATCATTTTCTCCTCTATTTGTATGCACTGTCTGTACAGGCGACCTCAGATGTGGGGAGTGCAGGTCTGTACCTGGAGGACTACTTTGAGGAGCAGGTGAAACTCGTCTACCCAGAAAGGCTCTTCCCCGGAGGGAGGGAAGAGCAGATGATCCCCCCTTTGGAGGACGAGATCGAGGAGGAGGAAGAGATGATGGGGGAAGGCATGGCTCCCATTGAAGACGATAAACCGATAAGTCCTGCAGGAGAAGGAATCCCCCCTGTGGAGGAGGACTCGACTGTGGAAGAAACAACAGTTCCAGTTGAGGAAAATAAGTCTGAAACGGAGGAGAAGGAAATGGAGAAGGAAATGGAGACAGAAATGGAGACAGATGTAACGGCAGCTGAGGAGGGAGACATTCCTCCATCAGAGGAGGCAAAGCAGGACAAGGAGACACCTGTGAAGGAGGCACAGAGCTCTCCAGCTGCAGATAGTGAAACAAAAGACAAGTCAGCTGACAGCTCCCTAGAAAATGAGAGCTCTGAGCTCCATACAGACACAACTGAGGATCCCCCGGACACCCAGAAGGAGGAGTCGGCTCCTGCAGACACAGCCAAAGAGGGGGAGTGATCACAACAGAGCTGTAGAACAAGATGGATGACTTTGGTCTTCCTCGGAATTGGCCCCAGTGGGGACCGACATTTACTGCAATCAGACACTTTTCTGAAAAAACAGTTATATCGGCAATAGGAAAGAAGTACTGCTTCACTACATTTAGTAGCTGTATCATGCAGGATATGATAAAGGGATTTTCTTTTGCTGAAGGTTGCAATTGTAATGTATCATAGACTATTATTTACAGGAATGAGGACACGGAAAAGCACACGCATACGTTTATTGGTTGACAGAATCTCGTTTTCAGATAGAGAAAAAGGATTTTGGATTCATTCTGCATGCAAGATGTCTTGGTATAAATAGTAATTCCTCCATTTTCAATTGACAGGCTCATGAACAAAATAGTTTTTCTTGTAATAGTTTTTATTTTATTATTATTGTATTAATGCTATGTATACTACTTTTAGGGTCGCTGTAAATTGAGCTACTCGGTTGTTTGAGAGCGAAACTTGAATTGCAACTATTATGGAACCTTTTTTGCGTTGCCAGTTTGATGCTTCTTATCCCCCATTCCCCAACAATGTGATATAAAACAGCAGCCTTGTTGGTTTTTAGAACAACTCTTCTGACATTATCACAGTGTTCTCCCAATTATGTCCTTGCTCTTCTGCAGGATGATTATTTTCACATAAGATTAAGCCTTTTTTTTTTATTTTTTTATTCTTCTTCTTCCTAAACCTTCCTGTATTGCCATCAAGAGAAAATAATGAAAACCTCCACTTTAATTTTAGATGATTTGTTTGAAGAACCTCGTTTAAAAAAAAATATTTATTGAGGTTAAACCTATGAACTCCACGGACAAACAATGTTGAGAATAAAAAATAACTACTTTTACAATATTTGTAATAAACAGGGTTACATGTTAATCTTATTTGTGCTTCGCTCTTCGATCTTTTTTGTCTTTATTTTTTCTGTTTTAATATTGTAAGATGCTGGTGCAAGATTGCTTTGAGGAGCCACGAGTTGATATAAAATAAATAGGAAAACAGAAGAAAAAAAAATGTAAACCACACAAATGTATGCTCATGTTTAACCTCATAACTTTTGGTTGGTTTCCATTTTACATTAGTTCATCATTTTTACATATTCTGAAAAACTGTTTTAAAATGTCAACAATGGCACTCGAAGATAAAGGCAAATGCTGCGTTCAGGTGCTCCTCGGATGCTCGGTTTTCTGACTTCATTGATCACCGTTCCACCAAATTGCATTAAAATTGTGCTATAGCTAGATGCTAGGTTTTCCTTAACAATGAATAAATAAAACGAGCCAATACCGTAACTTCCTTCTGAAATAAGAAAAAGTTAATATATTTAGTTCAATTTATTTTGTATAATTGTATTTTTCTTCCTTTTTACTGTAGACTTAAATGTTCAGGGGGTTATAGACTTGTTTTTCCCGGCTTTTCTAAAACTTCGCTTTTTCTTCTACCCAGTCAACATGTACTTTGGATTCACTTTGCGCAATTTCGACACAAATAAATCAAATATCGGCCGTGTTTGAATTATTCAGTAGCTCTGACACAGCTCCATCCACCCCGCCCCCTGTGTCGCCTCAGATGTTCTTCACGGAGAGCTTTCACACAACACACTCACTCACACACACCGTCCACCGCTGTCATTCATCCGCCGATCAGTCCATTCATTTATTATAACCGTGACATTAAGAGGATATGGGAGGAAAACATCTAAAAGTCACTCCATGGGCACTTTGGACCATACTTAGTTTTTTTCTGTACGGGGTTCTACATGGACAAGGTAACATCATTTGATAACTTTTTGGTGTGTTACTTTTAACACACACCAAAATGGAGATATCCAAGCATTTTTTCGCCACGTTAAATTTAATTAAATCTGACTTTCATCAGGGGCAGTCATGATTTGTTTTCTTAATAATGCCTCTTCTGTGTATTTCTAATCCTTAGATGTTCAGGCTCCTACTGTACAGGAGTGCTGTCAGGATGGGATGGATCGGGCCCTGGGAGGACATGACTGTACAATCCTCCCCCTCATCTCCATCTCCTCCACCTGCAGGTAAAGCAACACCTGGTTTGTCAAAGGAGAATGTTAGAAATATGACCAAGCAAGGGTCAGCACAGAAGGAATGTGAAGTTGTTGTGTATTTAACCGTTAAAAAAGCTTTCCTTTGGGTATTTGGGCTCCGAATGCAACACAAAGGTCTTCAAACTGTGTTGAAATGTGTGTTTCCTGTACAGGCTAAGCTACAATTTGCAACGGTATGTTTAAAAGCAGGAAACACCCCCAGGGTATGAAGCCCCAAATCATGTCACAAATAACTACATAAGTACAGGCGTGAAATGCCCCCCCCCCCTGGAGCATTTTTAACACTAAAGGTCCCTATTTGACTGTAAATACATGGAAGTGGTGATTGATAACATAGAGAAACACCTGGTGAGCACATTGAGGTCAGTGGAGGGGACAATCGCAGAGGAGAGAAGACTTTTGATCATGGATAAATTAGGATTTTTTTTTAAGTAAATTGCAACGTATTACATCATAAATCCACTTCCAGTCAGTATGTCAATCAATAGCAAGCATTCCTTCACATGTTCCTTATCCAGCCGAAGAGAAAAGGGTGCGTTTTATTCTGCATTTGTTACATTTCTGTCGTTTTTCTGCAGGATCGCCCAGGAGCAGTGCTGTTTAGCAACAGCAGGAGACCAATTCTGTGACAAAGGCATGAACATGGCCAAGGAGCAAGGGGCCTGTGAGCGGCCCTTCTTCTCAGGAGGACCCTGGGAAACCAAGATCTCGAAGGTCCTTCCTAATGTCAATATCTTCGACCTTTACACGTCTCCTTGTTCTCACAATACACCTTATAAGTCAATACATAGTGGGAATTGTTTTCCTGACAGTATCGAGATAAGATTCCTACTTTACGACTGCTTTCTCCACCACCCCCCCCCCCCCCCCTCCTTTCTCCTGTTCAGATTTGTTGTGACTGCTGTGTGCTCGGCCTGATGACAGCGAGCCAGGCGTCCAGCTGCGAGCTCCAAGGTTTGACTCTGGAGAGGCTTTGTACGCAAGCGGCTAAAAACTGCTGTGGCATAAACTCAGCGGAGGAACCCAAACAAACAGGTAATAGATCTTAACAATCTTTTGATTAGCTCCACTCTGTCTTATCATGAAAGAAGAGCTATCCTGGCTGTTTGGGACATTCAAAAATAATCAGTACCCTCCATGTACACACACTAGGTGCCAAATGACTTACAGCTAGGTAGGAAAAACTCCCATTTGCTTTTTTGACCTTTAATTTGATTGCAGATGATCTGACCAAAAACGGATGACTTCTTATTCAGACTTCTTTTAGACATTTAGACACTTAATGGCTTTTTTGGGGGGACCCTTTACAGAAGGCTCATGATGGACAGTTTTGGTTTCTCTAAGGATCAAAATTGATCCAGCAGAGCCAAAGATCTCACATTTTGTATTCCTTTTAAAAGCTTCGGGCCTACATTACCAGCAAAGCAACTCAACCACAGTTCGCTCAGATATGCCAATAGTGGGTACAATCCCATCTTTTTTTTGTCTTCAAACTTAAATATTTTGGGCTTATTCATCAGCCCCAACAGATGATGAGTTATTGGTTATCATTTTAAGACAATTTATCAAAAATAATTCCATCCACCCTTTGATTCCGCCCCTCTGCATCTTTTAATGGATTCCTCACCCCTCCAACTAGTTTTTCTGTATCCTGCTGACAAACAGTAATTGAAAATTGGTAGCGTCACTAGAGGCAGAGCCCTCTTCTAATAAACTGGATACATGGCCTTGTTGTGGCAGCTGTGGAGCAGATCCCTGGGATACAGCGGTACTCGCCAGGCTAATCTGTAGACACCTTGCCAAATGGTGACTCAGGGCCAACTAGTGTTGTGTCTGGTGGTGGCTTTTGTCGCCGAGCTGGCTTCAAGTGAAAATACAACCAAATGTGTGGGAAGGACAGAGCTGCAAAAACATTCAATTTGAGCTGTATTTGTGGACTGTAGTTTTTTGGGGAATTTACCATTAATAAAATCATATTGTTTTATTTAGCAGGGACAATGCACAGTAATGAACACTTAAAACATTAAAATGTGTCAAGCGTAACAGTGCCAGATTTAGCTTTAAGCTAATTTCCATCCGCAGTCCCTCATATAAAACATTTAAGAAAATTACACTTTACAAAGATAGCAAAAACAAAATACATGATATGCAAAAAGTGCAAAAGAGCAAGAGCAGCATACACAAGTATTTATGACATGGTAATACAATATAGCAGCAACGACATATAAAGTGCAAGAAAAGATACAAGAGATACATAAGGTGCAAGAGGAGATACCCCTGTGTTAAAGTGCATTTAGAGATGCTCGCACGTCTGTTTGTTTCTAAACCATTCTTTGAGTTGACCTTTGAAGCTATTGAGAGTTTTAATTATGCTTTAAATCCATACCTCCAGTCACAGCAAAGCCTGCAGCCAGTTATACCACCAAGCCGCCAGAGGGATGGAATGGCTGTAGAGGTTTGGCACATTCATTTCTAAAATGATTTTAGTGATGTATGACACACTGTAACGTCTATTTCGTCACGTGTCCCTCCCCTGATTTCAGACTCCAATTGCTCACAGTTGTGTGTAGGGAACGGCACATGTGCATGCCTTGATGGTTATCAACTGCAATCTGATGGAGTGAGTTGTGTGGGTAAGTAATCTAAATAAAAACCCGGCTTTATTACTTAGAAAATAAGTGATTTCTACTGTTCAATGTTTCAGTCTGTTGATCGGCCCATACTGAAATATCTCAACAACTATTATTTGAATTATTATTTAAAAGAAATGTATTACAATATTCACAACCACTTTTCAGGATGAATTGTAATCAATAAGATTTCTTCTTTTGCGTTAAATTCTTATTTTATTGTTGTTTTTACGATATGTTGTTCCAATAGTTTTTCATAGTTTAGTTTCCCTATTACATTGTGAATTGTAGTGTTAATTAGGTGGAGGCTTCAATCACCACACTGGGTAAAGTACAATAAACTGAACAAACTAAATGCACTTATTTTTCTTATCTTTTAGTGGATGTCTCTCTCCTCAGATTCTAACGAGTGTCTGACTGGCTACCACAACTGCGTCTCCGGCCAAGTCTGCATTAACACAGAGGGTTCCTTTCGCTGTCAGAGGGAAACCAGCTGTGGCACCGGGTATGAACTCAGAAACGACAACGATTGCCACGGTAAAAAAAAATCCTTTCTAATCCTAACACTTTTGTTTATTCATAACAAGAAATTCTCCTAGATTTCAGTATTGCTTCTATCGTTATCTCCTCTTTGCTTGTTCCAGACATAGACGAGTGTTCTTTGGGCTCCCATAACTGTGGACCAGACTTTGTGTGCAACAACACTGCAGGCTCTTTCCGCTGCTACCCGAAGGAGAGTTGCCCGATCGGTTACATTCAGGACGCTGTAGGCAACTGTAACGGTCAGTTTAGTGTCACAAGGTCAAAACATTCCTCCGATAAAAATGTAGCTGTCTTAATGTAATGTTCTCTTCAGATTTTAACGAGTGTGCTGCCTACGCCAGTCCATGCCTGTCTGGCGAGACCTGTATCAACACAGAGGGCTCTTACACATGTCGCAGGAACAAAATCCCCTGTGGACGAGGCTACCATCTGATTGAGGACGGCACGCGGTGTGAAGGTGGATTCTGGCACGAAAGATTATCCGATATGTTTTTTTTGCTGCCACATTGATGTTCTTTTTTCATACGTGTATTTTCCCCTCTTCATGTTACAGATGTGGATGAGTGTCGTACAGGGAATGTTTGCGGCGTCCATGGTTGTGTCAATCTAGTTGGCACGTACCGCTGTGAATGCAGTAATGGCTTCATCTTCAACAGTATCACCAAGCTGTGTGAAGGTACGGTGCAAATTCATCACTTTATTTTTGTTTCAACTATAAAATTGTATGCATGTCAGCTATGAAATCTTGTATTTTCACGTTTTTTTTTTATAAAGTGAGTAGAGGAGAAAGAACTGCCTATTCTAGTCCCTTTGGTTGCCCTAGATCAGGGGTGTCAAACTCAATTTCATGGCGGGCCACATTCGCATCATGGTTGCACTCAGAGGGCCGGTTGTAACTTTAAGACTATATATATGTATCATATATAAATAATGTATTATATTACATTATTGGCTCTGCATTGGATTATTATCACATAGGGTAATAACTTCATAATTAACTAGGTCTGAAAGCAGAAGTCTCTTCAGTGAGAATGTCACAAAATGATTTAAAAAGAAAAGCCACATTCTGGAAAAAAAAGTAATATAAACAATAAAAGGGCAAATTCTAAGAAAAAAGGCAAATTCGAGATGCATTGTGCTCCATGTATGGGCAATGTGCTTCTGTAAAGCGGCACGTAACCGTATAATAAACATATTATATTCTTTGCAAGCTCTTGTGGGGCCACCTAAAATGAAGTTGCGGGCCGGATTTGGCCCCCGGGCCTTGAGTTTGACACCCCTGACCTAGATGTTCATGGATATTTGTAACACCAATTTCCCATCTAAATTCCCAGTAAGATTTATAGGAAAAGGGGCATCCATAAGTGTTGAATTACTGTAAAAGGCACAATTGTTCCTAAAATAAGTGCATCTGTGAAAAGTAAGAGTCACGAGCGATGCTTGGCTGAAGGTTATCTAAGTATTACCTGCAAGTGTGTGAAAGAGGCTTCAGACTCTCAGACTCACCGCCCCCTGTGTTCTTCAGATATCAATGAATGCAGACATTATCCTCTTCAACTCTGCGCCCACAAGTGTGAGAACACAGAGGGGTCCTACAAGTGCAGCTGCACCACTGGCTTCAAACTGACCCACGACGGTAGAAGCTGTGAAGGTAAAATCTCTTAATTTCAGTCATTTACTAAGACTTATGTCGGGGTTATACAATATGGCTGATGTAAAAACCTAAATTGTGTCATAGTCTTTCCGAATGCATTTTTTAAACTCTGTTCCTCTGTTCCTGCTAACAGATGTCAATGAGTGCGAAGCCAACCCTTGCAGCCAGGAGTGTGCAAATGTTTACGGCTCGTACCAGTGCTACTGTCGCCGTGGTTACCAGCTGAGTGACATCGATGGGATAGCTTGTGAAGGTACTGTTTGACTTCCTGGTTCTTGGTGAGGCAACAAAACCAACAAGAGAGTAATCACATGTCCCATAAAATAAGTTCTTCTAACCAGATTTGACCGTTTCCCGCTCTCAGATATCGATGAGTGTGCTCTGCCTACTGGAGGTCACGTGTGTTCCTACCGCTGCTCCAACGCCCCGGGAAGTTTTTACTGTACCTGCCCTTCTACAGGCTACACACTCGCACACAATGGACGCACGTGCCAAGGTCGGTCGATGAAGCTTTGGTCAACGATAAGTGAATTGTAAATGTTTTTTTTTTATTAACCTTTGGCTTGTTTTCAGACATTGATGAATGTGCCGCGGGGATCCATACTTGTTCTGTCTCCGAAAGATGCTTCAACATCCAGGGAGGGTTTCGCTGTCTGTCCTTTGCATGTCCGCAAAACTACCGGCAAGCAGCACAGCGGTAAGAGCTGATGGTTTCTTGGTAATGACAAGCTTTGGTAATGAATGGTTCACTGTCCCTATCTTACTTCTCTGTAGTTTAGTTTTAAGAATACGTTTTTCTAATTTCCTGAGTTTGTTTGTCCGGTTTTGGACTGCTCTGGACGCTTTCAACACTCTTTTCTTATTATCTGGCCTTCATAAATTATTTCCTCTCTGTTCTTTGCCTCTTTTTCCACCATGTACGCAGCCGATTCTGCTCTCCATCCAATCAGTATTTCATTTTTTCCCATTTCAGCCGTTGCGAGCGAGTAACTTGCGAGTTCACGCGGGATCCTGCGTCGTGTTTCTTGCTCCCGCTGAGAATCTCCTTCTACAACATCAGCTTCCCAACCAACACCCCCGTCCCTGCTGTGGTTTTCCGGATGGGACCCTCTAATTCTGTGCTGGGAGACAAAATGCTGCTCAACATAGTGTCCGGAGATGAGGAAGGATACTTTGTCGTGCAGCAGCATGCATATGGAGGAGAGATCTCACTTCGCCGTACCTTAACCCTGCCGCGGGACTTCTTTCTGACCGTGGAGATGAGGTTGATTCGCTACGGGATGGCTCATCTGTATATGGCCAAGATTGCGGTGTTTATCACAAACGAGCAGCCTATCCGGCCTTCAAGAACATTTCCATATTAGAAGTCTGTGAAATAAAAGAAAATACGCATTTTGTACCCAGTGCGCATGTTTAATAAGGTTTTTTTAATTTGTTTTTATCTATCCTTTTACTTCAAGCAGGACTCACAGCTGCAACTTTCTATCTACCCTTGAAACAGGGCAAATGAATAATTGTTGTTCAGTGATGCAAAAAAAAGACTAAAAAAAGAAGAAGATACCACAGCAGTCTTTATGATGAACTGGAGTGACTATTTATTTGTATTGCTAAATTCTGCTTCTCAGTATTGAGCGAAAAGGATTGATGGCATTCTCTGTCTGTAGCCTATGCTTAAAATGAAGCTGCAGCGAGCATCAGGTTAGCTTACTTTAGCATAAAGAAACAGCTAGCCTGGCTCTGTACATCAGATACTCGAGAAAGTCACCGCGCCTAGAAAAGACGTTGTCCATGACATAAACCTTACAAAAAAGATATAAAGTTAGTGAGATTTTGAGGTGCTGGTAGCCATTGTGTATTACTTTTGATCAGAACTAAGCTAGCTGTTTCCATTCTGTATGCTAAGCTAAGCTCGGTGGCTCCTGTTGCTTTAAATTACACATAGGCCTACAGACATGAGGTTGGTATTGATCTTCTCTTTTTACTTTTAGCAATACATTTATTTGTCTCCAACCCCCCAAAAAAACCAATTACTTATAGTTTTGTTGTTGGTACTAGTAACGGATTTGAGTGGTTATAGTTCTAAGCAATGTTGCTATTTGAATTGCGGTTGAAAGCAGAGATGGATTTCTTTGAAAAAGTGCCTTGTCATTTTATCGATTTTTTTCAACACTTAAAACCCTTCTCTTGCGTTAGGTCATACCCCCCTTCCCATACTATTTTAGGTCAAAATTGACCGGTTTGTTTTGCCAACACATTCTCACTCCCAACTCGGCCTATGTTGACGTTATGTCAGGGTCCCTGTCGTCACTTTCCAACGCAAGGGAGAGCCCTTTAGCGTCGAGTTTCAACTATCAGGGAGTCCCATTGACTTGCATATAGAGCTCCCTGAACGTTGGTAATAGACGAGTTAGGATCGCGGCGAAATGCTCTCCGCAGATCCATTCTCACAGCGTTTATCAACCTTTTTCTTACTCAATATCAAGCCAAACTTATTGTTTTTACTTCTTTATTTTAATTGAATAATGTAGGACTTTTGTTGCCGTCAGTTAGGGGAGAGCAGGGGCTCAGAAAACTGAAATCTGTATTGTTTCATCATTTTGTATTCTTTTCTAAACCACACACTGTTATTTGCTCAACAATAAGACTCAATTATCCTTGTGTTTATTTATTTGTTTGATTGTATAATGTCGGACTTTTGGAGTCGTACTTTTGGAGTCGGACTTTTGGAGTCGGACTTTTGGAGTCCGTCAGGACCGAGGGTATATAGTAGTTGCTCAAGAGAATTTTACACCCGGAAGCAAGTATTCTCTCCGCTTCGCAGATTAGTCCTCAAGTTCTGTGATTGGATGTTTTAGCCGCAATGCACGTTGGGATATGGTGTTTATGTGATGTGAAATCCGAAAACATTTTTAAAAATAAAATAATACTTTATTCCGAGTGTTCTTGCTTTTCTCTTTGGATGTCATCACATAACGGCATTGTAATACACGGTTTGGCTGCATTAAATATTACACATCTGCCGTAGTTCTTTATTTATAGAGCCCTGATGAGAAGACTTCTGGACAAACAGGAAGAACTGAATATGTGACGTGGATCATAAATATATCAGCAATTAAACAACATCTTCAATTTCTCTTCACAATATACGTCTCCTTGCAATATCAATACTAATTTGGCTGACTTTTATATTTGAACCAATTGGTAGATAGGCTATATTTAAACCATAAGGGTGCACAGCTGATAGAAAGGAACACTAGTGGTTAAAGCACGTTATTGAATTTTATTATTTGTATTATTAGATATTAATAGGAGACACAGACAGACAAACTAATAAGGCTTTATTTAAACATTAAAGAATACTTTAGGTTAAGGTCTTATTTTGAATAAGAAAAAAGCTTTGGGGGTATAANAAAAACGAAAGATATGTAGAATGGATCATTCAAATATAAAAAAAAAAACGAAAGAACAAGAGTCTCTCAGAGTATATCACTGTATTTTTTTAATGTCAGCCTATTTTCGTATGTCCTTAATGTCGTCTTACCAGTGCAGGAAGTTGATGGAGTAACTCCAGTGGTCCTCGATGTGCCAGCAGAACGAGGAGAAGCACATGCCCACGTAGAGCCAGGGCACCTTCATACCCGAGATGTCCACATTGATGTGTGTGAGCACCGACTGCTCCAGCACCGGCATGCTGACATTAAAAAAATACAGTGATATACTCTGAGAGACTCTTGTTCTTTCGTTTTTTTTTTTATATTTGAATGATCCATTCTACATATCTTTCGTTTTTCCCTTCCTCCTCCAGGGGTGAGCCGAAGACTTGGTATGGCGTGCCGGCGTCTGCAGCGGAGAAGCTGGAGGCTGTCATGAAAAAGTTGGCTCCGGAGCTTTTTGACTCCCAGCCTGACCTCCTCCATCAACTGGTTACCATCATGAATCCCAACGTCCTCATGGAGCACGGTGTCCCTGTGAGTACTCTGTTTGGTGGGGTTGATGTAGAGTGGTGCAGGGATGATGTATTTTTGTAGGCTGGTCCGCAAGTTAACCTCACAAAGGCTCCCTTGACCAAAATCAATAAGATCTTTTCATTAGATTTGGAATATTGCAGAAAATAAGATCTGTGACAAACACAATTGGCTCCATGTTGATTGTGTGCATATTCCCCCCTTCAGGTGTACAGGACCAATCAGTGTGCAGGGGAGTTTGTGGTGACCTTCCCCAGGGCCTATCACAGCGGCTTCAATCAGGGCTACAACTTCGCAGAGGCCGTCAACTTCTGCACCGCTGACTGGGTGAGAGCAAAGCAAATACTGCCCCCATTTAAATAAAAAAACTTGAGAGAAGTTTTAAAAAAAAAAATCTTTATCTTTGCCCTTCCCTAGTTACCCATGGGTCGTCAGTGTGTTTCCCATTACCGACGCCTCCACCGCTACTGCGTCTTCTCCCACGAGGAGCTGCTCTGCAAGATGGCTGCTGATCCAGAGAGTCTGGACGTGGAGCTGGCTGCCGCTGTCTGCAAGGAAATAGGAGACATGATGGAGGAGGAGACTAAGCTCAGACAGGCTGTTCAGGCAATGGTAATTGTCTTTTCTTTGTTTATGTTTAATGTATGCATGTCTAAGGTGGGCTGAATGGCTGTTATATCACTTTGAATCTTAAATCAGGGGGAAGTAAACCTGATCGGGACGTCCTTACTTTATATCATCCCAGTGATGGCATAATCTGTTCTCTTTCTACAGGGGATTTTGTCTTCGGAGCAGGAGGTGTTTGAACTTCTCCCAGACGATGAACGCCAGTGCTACAAGTGCAAGACGACGTGTTTCCTGTCTGCTCTGACCTGCCCCTGCAGCCCCGACAGACTGGTCTGTCTCACGCACGCAGCAGATCTCTGTGACTGTGCCCTCGGCAACAAGTGTCTCCGGTAAGTGTTGGTTTGCTACAATGCTGCACAGTGTCTAATAAGTGAGGGAGAAGAACCCCGACAATGAGAGCAGGATCCTGCATCATCCTAAAGGTTTTCTTTACTTGCCGTCGCTACAGCTCTATCATACTTATTTATTATTATTATTACTCAATGTAAAAAATAATCTCGCGACAATCGTCGTCACTGAGTTTCGCGACCATCTTATATGTGCTAATGTGTTATAATCTGCACATTCCTAAGTCAAATGACACCTGTAATGGGTGTCCTCGTTTACGGCCGATTTCACAGAACGGGTTCCTGGTGTTGCCGGGACTGCGCTCACCGCCGGCATGCCAGCCCTAAGCTTTGACCGTCAAGTGGTATGCGGGAACTCCGACTACTGTTGCGAGATTGGTGAGCGCGGTTTTGGCGGGTAT